CACGTTCAGTGTCGGGTCGAGACATGCCCTGGCAAATCGCAGGTGATGTTTTTCTCCAATACTTCGGGTATTTTCTATTTCTGTAATAATTATTCCTACTGGTTTTGATGGAGACGTCCTGACACCCTGGAGTAGCTTGACATAAGTATGACTACCAACATGCGAAGAAAATTGGACTTATTACTATACAGGCTTAGCCATATGGGATTCCTATATGGTGAACATCTACTCATCAAAGGTATACAAGATTGAAGAAACCAGAAGGATTGGGCGTTGTGGGGACCATTTTCTGGTTTTACCAATTAATTGTAGGAACGTTCGGGTCATTGACAATAAGACTCCTTTCTGCACGATATTGTCATTCCTAGAAGCTTGATATTAAAGGAAATACTCCTTGGTATCACCCCGGTTGCAGACAAATAAATTGGTTCTCTCTGGATGTCCTTCAACTTCCATAACTGCGGCAATTGAAGTAGATTATGTCAAGGATTATGTATAATTTTCAATAACAAGATGGATTTCAAGGAGAAATATCAATCTCTTCTTGTAGTTATTTTGTTTAATGGATAAGCGCAGTATTTTCGAGTTTGGTCTGCTTTCCATTTTCTCCGTTCTATATATAGTGTTTTCAATTTGCCTATTCCGAACTCCATGCTGATTTAAATTGAGTAGGTGTCGGCAGCATAAATTCTTATGTCGTCCATGTAATGAAAAAAGTTTATGTACAGTATTATTTCCTTGTTTAAGTTTGCATTCCATTTGGTTATTACTTGGGGCGTATGATCGAGGGTTAAGACATATACAAAAACATAATGCATTGAGGGCATCACCTGTAATATTAATCGTTCGATCTTTTCGTAACTGGTTTCGATATATCCATCTGAAATTTTTTTTTTCTCCACTTTTTTAGATATCGCCGCAGATAGATTAATTATATAGATATCAATGATATTTTAAATAATATTGTGTCAAGATAAGGATGGGATAGCATTAAGATCTAGGAAATGGTGAGAGATACAGGTTCGGTTAAATTAGGAAATAGGTGAGCAGTTCCATGTTCGCTTTGAAAATTGAAAAATATCAGGTCTTCAAAAAAAAAAAACATTCAAAGATTGCTTTGATTTCGAAAACGTATGTCGCATTATTGTTCCTTTATTGGTCAGGAAAATATTGCTAAGACATACGTTTAAAGAACCATAGTGAATTGAAGACCCGTTATAGTGTTGTATAAAATCATGGCGCTAGTTATGTATAACGCAGAGACAGGGCTATGCATACTTTTTAAAGCGAATTTTTCTCATGATTTGTTGAAGATGATCGCAAGCTAACAAAAAACAGAATTTAAAATTCATGACCATATCAAAAAAAATAAAACTGATGATGGTGGAGCAAAGACGAAATACCGGCTTTTAAATTGACATTGATGCCATTTCGTAGTGCAGAAAAAAGTCGCAATGGGTGGTATGAATAAAAGCGAAGTACTTGCTACTACTACAAGCATTAGTATGTTCTACGTAGTATTTACTCCAAAACGAAGTACCTAGATACTACATTTCGAAGCTACCGGAAATTAGTAAATGCTTCTTTGTGAAGTAAATACTCCGAAGAATATACTAATACTTGTAGTAGTAGTAGGTACTTCGTTTTTATTCATACCACCCAATGATTGAAACAGTATTCTGCTGAGCATAAGATTTTGCAACCCTTTTTTAAAATTAACCAAAGCCGTATCTCTTACCGTTTCCTGGATCCTAACGCTATCCCATCCTTATCTCGGACATACTGAAAATCCAATTTCGAAACAAAAGCAACATTTCGTAATCAACACGGTTATAAAAATATCTAATGTCAATTAATTTTGTAACAGATAAATGAAGTAAAATATTACATAGGTTTCTACTACCTACCAGCTGTTCCACGCGGTTTCACCCGCCGATTTTAGATTAGTTTTCCAAGTTTTAAAACTATCAAATTTGGTTTATTCCTGAAAGCTGAAAGATTTAATAGATTAACATATTGTACTCGAACCACCCACATTATATCAAATATATATTAGCAAAATATATAAAAATTAAAAAATACTAATTTATCAAATATGAAATTCGTTTATGTATTGAAAGATACCAATACTCAAGCTGTTACCTTCAGAGATTTGAGGTAAGAATCGTTAAAATCGGCATTACCGGTGAACAATAGAAAACTCCTTGAGAGGAAAGATTTCATGGAAAAGATTCTGTAGAAATATTCTATACTGAATATTCCCTATGACTGCAAAAATTTTGTATGAGATTTTTCACTCTATTATTCTCTAGTGATAATCTATTGAAAATATATAAATGTTGGTAATCAATATAGCGAAGGATAAGGACTGGTATTTTCTATGAAACAAATACTTTATCCTCACCTTATACTGGAGGGACCACACCCCACTTCCATACTCTAATTTTGTAAGCACTAGGAATTCAAACCCAAAAAGGCATGACTATGTAGATAATTAATCTATATATTAAGCGCCTTTAATAAATTTTGCTGATTGGACTTAGGTGGTCTCAATATAAATTTTAATATAGGTACCTTTCACACACAGCTAGACCATAATTCGTTTTTTAATGTGCTTCCAATAGGGAATTTTCATATTTCTCAATTTATTTATTTTTAGATACTTCTAGTCATCAGATATTACATAGTTTTCTTTTTTTTCCATTTTAATTTATACATTCTACGAAAAAAAAAATATTGAAATTCAAATCAAAAACTTTGGCGCGAAAACGCGAAATTTCAATATGACAGCGCTCATGATGTCAAGATTTTGTAAACATCAAATGCAACAAACGAATTCTTGCCGACTTAGTGCTATTTTTGTGTTGTGTTTGTGAAAATTGTGGCAATGGATGAAGAATATTGTAAAAGATTGCTTTCGTAAGCTTTATTTCACTTGTAAGTTCCCTATTGATAGGTTTGTTTACAGAATCGTGACGTCAAAAAAGGTAGCCATCATGGAAGCATCGTTTTGGCGGAAAAAAATTTATTTTAATTTTTGTGTTATTTTTTGTGTAACAAGAGCGGTATTAGTAAAATAAAAACTGGACACATAAACATTGTGCAGTATAAACTATCGATTTAAAACTTTGGAAAATTTTAGTTCATTTGCAAGTTCCCTAGTTTCACTGATTTCTCCCAAGTGAAGGCGCTTTTGTTACGTGATCGATCCGGTTTCCTAATCGAAGGATTGCCCAACGGCTTGCTTCGGCCGCCACCCTCAGGATTAAAGGGCTTGAGGGCCAGCGTGCACCAGGTGGCTTGTGAGGAGACGGTAATCCACAACAGATGCTGGACGAGATTCGCAAGAGCCAAGAATTCTTGAGATGCTTCGAGTATGAAAATACAACAAAATTTTTACATCTGTATCGCGGTAGTATATAGATCACCTAAAGTCCTTAACCAATTTAATGACCCCTCGTTAAAATTAATAATAATGAATTGCGGTTAGTGCGATGAACGCATTAACAGCGCTATAACTGTTCCAACTTAGAGTCGAGGAAATGCATTAGTTTTTACCTGCCCACTCGCGAACATGCTCGGCAAGCGTGGTGTTGTATATGCCAAAACCTTTTACAAAATGAAATGTCTATGCTAAAATGTCGGATTCAAAGAAAAAACCCCAGTTGAGTAGTGCAGACTACACAGAATCTCACACATAGAAATTCAGTCTGCCTCAACTTGGATTCTGGGGGAGGCAAAAATTTGATTAGGGTAGAACAAACATCAATATTAGAGTAGCAAGGTATAACATCAGAACCATGAGTACGATGGAACAGCTCACTTTACTAGAAGAAGAACTTAAATATCCGTATTTCCTGTAGACATTATGAAAGTGCGAATTATACGTATAGACTGTAATATCACTTCGCGAGTCTACAGTCTACCTGGGTCCTTATTCTTGAAACGAGGGAGCAGCGTTTCCAGGAGAACGAGTGTTCCGTCTTTGTTACCTATATTATCATTTGCATATCATTGAAAAAGACGGAACACTCGTTCTCCTGGGAACGCTGCTCCCCTGTTTCAAGAATAAGGACTCTGAGGACCGATTCTCGGGCCAGGGAGTAGAGCTCCCTGAGAGAACAAATTTTAGTCTTTATCATTCTAATTTACTTTGCGATTACGTTGACAAGGACAAAACGTTCGTTCTATTGGAGAGCTCTACTCCCTTAGACGAAAATTCTGCCCCTGAAATCTCGTGAGCGTCACACATTATTCGAATTTGACAGAGAAGTTAAGCCAGGTTTCAAAGTTACAAAAGAGCCTCAAAACAATATTTATTTACCCATAAAGCCTGACGGACGTCAGTTCATCTACAACATCACATTACGCATCTTGGATGATAACGGTCACCTGATTGACTTCCGTGGAGAGAAAATTATTGTAAAATTGGAGTTGTAGAAAATTGTTGTATAATAATGGGATTTTGCTACAATCGTCAATTGCACAGATTTCAATCTATTCAAAAATCTGTTGAAAATACTAATAAAAATAGGCGAGACACCATGCGAGGATTCACTCGTAGCTCTCGGACTCAACACAACACATTCGCAGCAACTGCCCGCAAAAGATCTTACCTTTTTGGAATGAATCTTTAGTCTGAAATTGAAGCCGATAAAGCAAAAATGATGGCCAGCAGCGACAAGATTGACGGCTTTGCCGGACCCATTCTCGACAATTCCATCATCAATTACGAGAGCACACATACAAACCGTATGGCTCCCCAGTTCCCCAAAACTCTGATGAAATTCGCATTCCAGTTCATTTCCAAGATATAATATTGGAGATATCCGAACGTTATATCTATATCGAGAGGAAGTTCAAGCCCAAATGTCTCACTAAAAAGTGCTACCTATACGATAATGCACCAGGCTTTCTGTTCGACGAAATTCGGTATGAAATGGTTGGTGAACAGGTGGCAGTTGTTCGGCAGCCTAGGATTACAGAAAACCCTGAAAACAATGGCGTCCTTTGGAGCTTCACAGTTGAAAACCCTTCTAACATGTGGTTGGGCTTTGACCGAAAATAAACAACATATCATCGATTCTACTAGTCATGTGTTTTCCGGTAAATTACCCCTAAAGTATTTAATGGGTTTTGCCGAGGACTACACGAAGGGAATCTTCAATGTCAAGCAGGAGCTTATATTGATAACTGCTCGCATCTTCACTTGATATAATCGAATGGAAGATTCGTCATATCATACTAGACGATACTCATAAGTTGAAAATAATGTCACGCATGAATAAGGGGGGTGAAAATGCCAATATTCATATGGCTTACCGCAAATGGGACCTTTACGAACTTCCTACTTTGCGTAAGACTTCGGCTGATGTTTGGGCTTTGAGAACTAGCAACAGTTTGGCGTAACCACGCTTTCTTATCATCGGCTTTCAAAAACACGAAAATTGTGATAAGAAAGGCAAAGACGCCACAGAATTCACTACCGCATATGTAAGCTATATTCGCCTATACCTGAACTCCTCCGTATATCCATATGAAAGATAGAATCTAGAATTTTCAAAGAAACTGTATGCACCAGCATATCACAACTATGAAAATTTCCAAAGTAGCTACTATGGGCGCGAAAAGCCAATGTTGGATTTTGCAGAGTATTTACAGAATCCTGTGTTTATTATTGATTGCAGCCGCCAACTAGAAGTCGTGAAGTCCTCCTCATGACACTTATTTCAGTTAAAATATGTTAAATGGTTCTTCAGCAAATAGATCTTTGTATCAGTTTTCAAGTTCAATTATAAATAGATATTATTCTGTGTGAGTTTTTATTTATTTACATAATGAATGTATGTATAAAACACATTTTTGTTTACATTTATTCCCTATCTGTGAGCGAAAATGATAAGGAAGACCTAGGGTGGGTATTATAAAACTGCTTTGACAGTTAACTTGAAGTTAACTTTTTGAATTACATGTAATTCCAGAATTTCTTTTTGAATTACATGTAATTCCAGAAGTTAACTTTAAGTTAACTCCCAAAGTAGCTTTATAATACCCGCCCCTAGTGTGTACATATACAGTGAGGACATAAAGTCCGTCGCCCCCCTCTAACTTTTGAACCGCTCGGTATATTGCAACGAAATTTGAAATGATGATATGTAACCAAATTCTCCATTTTCCGAAAAACAAAAGATAGCTTTAGCTATCAAAATGACAGCTGAGCGCGGTTTTAAAACGTTTTTTTTTTTTAAATAGAAGGCGGTATCGAGTGATATATCGTTTTAAGGGTCTCTTTATTCTTAATTTAATCTCCGATTCTGAAAACATTTGGTTTAGCGGTTTTCAAATGATGACGAAAAAACAAAGGCTTGTTTTGGTCATAATAGTATATTATTCAATGATCATGTAATGAGAGTCATTAATACACGAGCATGTTGTAGGATACGAAACGAGCCGCTGGCGAGTTTCGTATATAACATGCGAGTGTAATAATGGCCATTACATGAGAGTTGCATACACTATTTTTTCTCCTTTCATTAATATATGAAATACATATCTATTTTAAGAATAGTAAACTTCTCAATTGTTGTGACAATTGTTGACAACTATCGACAATTTCGAAAATTAAGATATAGACGTCATTTGGGCATAAATTCCACGCTCGATTTATTAATTTTTTGTTGTTTCTTTTAGTAAATACCAATAGAACTAATCCAAAACAGGTCTCTTATTTTTATATAAACATTGTTCATGTTCAAAATAACTCGATTCCAGTGGCTGATAAATCTGTATCATAATGAAGTTCATTATGAAACAGACTTTACATATCTCTTAACTTGCGCATCATCCACGTCACATATAAATCCAAGTCGCCATTAACACTTGGTGCATCATTACTGATGTCACACATCTTTAGGAAAGTGGGAGATATAAATGTTTCCTAAATTTGTACAAATTATATTACCTCAAAATTTATTACATTTTTCGGAAACTATCAATTGGAAATATGCTATATAACAACACAATATCAAATCTATTCCAAACAGCCGAAATTTAATAGGGATTTAGAGTTACCCCCATAAGAATGTGAACTTTGCCCTTAATATGACAAAGTGTATTTATCAGTCGAAGATTTACTAATTTCAATGATTGTTCTTTGAGAGCATTTCTGCTACCTACACGTTTTGGCAAAAAAGTTTCAAAGGTCACATCTTCTTTTTTGTCACACAATGTGGCAAGGATAGTTTTACCAAACCTTGTTACCATCAACACCAGTTTTCTAATTATGTAAACTACATCAATCTGTAATGAGGAAATTTTTCTTTTTTCGAGTTTGTTAAGCATATCATTAATTTAATTAATATTACTAATTTCAACCAAGGTATCTTTTGAAATACTCATAATTTAAGAAAAATTGAACAGATTTTACAGTACGTACCTTGAATACACACTTTAGGTACTTCACAAACACAATATTTCTAGTTAACTTTTAAGCGACAGGTCGAACTATAATCGATGCTCGTATGACTATGATACATTTCCTCGTTCAGGAGAGAACTTTATACGCATTGAACTCGAGGTCTTAAGAATTTGAATACTAAAGTAATTTCAGTAGCAGAAACTCTCTACTTAGCATTAAGTTTTGGCAAAATTAATAGCAATTAGGATTGAAAATATTCCCATTAATATACACTGTGGAGTCTGTGGGCCAAATTTATTTGGAACCCCATTTGACTCGGGATATTTTTTTGATTCGGTGGATTTTTGTGTGCACAAGCATCTAGTAATTCGGTTAAACCAACCGATAAAAACTAATTTTAAATTTACCTGAACTGAAACTTTTTGCGCTGAAACATTGGCCAAGGTGTGAAATACCAATACCAAAAGGGGATTTTGTCGAATTTTATGAACAAATACTCTTAAAAAATGTGCAATTGAAGCTATAACAAATAAATAGTTTGATATATTTAGGTAGGTATAGTTTGATTAATTTATACATTAATATTTCAGCTTTCTAGGCTATTTTATGATAAACTAGTTTTATTATTACGCTGTATGGTAATATTATTTAAGAACCTTTCAGAAAAACATACATTTTTAATACAAAACCTGAAGTTTTTCGAAACATTTTTTCATAGCCTCTTCTCCGATATATTCTTAATATTTTCAAATAATTTATGTAAAATTCCACGGAATTAAAAAATATATTCAGAGCCAAATGGGGTTTCAAATGAATTTCGCTCACAGTGAGGAAACGGTCATAGCAAAATAGCATTTTAATTATGGAAAGTAACCAACAAATTAAACATCATAAAATTAAGAAAGTTCTGCGGAACTAAATGTTATGCATAATATCATTTTAAACGCATTCCAACTCGAAGTAAATGAATGGCTTATCGACACATTAGACGCCGATGATGGGCAAAAATATGACGAATACTTGAAAATAATGGGTACTAATCAGCAAACAAAACAACATTGAGCACTCTATAACCATATTATCTAATGCTATTAAGACTTACGAAAATAGCATTTCAATTATGCAAAGTAATCAACTAATACAACAGAATAAAATTAGGAAAGTTTTGTGAAACTAAATGTCATGCATACCATTTTAAACAAATACTAACTCGAAGTAAATAAATGGCTATTCGATAAATTAGACGCCGACGATGGGCAAAAATATGACGAAATACCTAAAAATAATGACGAAAATAGCATTTTAAGAGGGGCGTCAGATAAGAGCCAGCACGCCATCTTTTGGGCTTTATGACATACATTAAATATTTTTTAATTACAGGTGTTCAAATTCTTTGTAAGTGATTGACTTATTTACAAGTAGATAACGACATCTTTAATATCAATTCGTTTACACAGTAATTTAGAGTGGACTATAATTTTATTCAGATGCAAATGAAATAATAGTATTTCACATTTTTAGCTGGGTAAAACAGTTTTTATTGGCGTTTGAAAGAAGTGACTACCCTTCCCGAACTCAGCGACATCTTTAAGAGAAGCGCTGATCACACGTTTGGTTTGAGTCTCTGCTGAAAATGACAGCAATCACCTCGTTGTTTGGCAGATTTTGATTAATTTCGCGATAAAAAGATTAGGTATAATTTTCGAAAATTCTGTCTTATTCATTTTTTCCAGCATTTTACTATCCGAAATTTTGGAAATTTATTGTTGGTGTGCTACTCTAGCTATTTGTCCCTTTTTTATTTAAATCCATGACCAAAATTTGCATATTGTTGTCAACAAAATTGTTAATAATTTTACTATTTAACTGCGTATTTTGCAATCAAAAATGCGTCGACTCTTACTCCAATCTATTATTGTTATGAACATAACTTCATTTTACTGAAAAGTGGTCTAAATTTGGAATAGAGCAAAAATTTGTGAAGGTCTGTAATTGACATTTTTTTTATACGCCCCTCTTATGTAAAGTATCCAACTTATTAAACAGAATAGAATTAGGAACTTGCGTCACAACATCAAGGCATTGTTTACGGAAAAAAGGAGCCAAGGCCAAATGTCGAAAATATGTCAAAGTCAAAACAAGGAACCAAGGCCAAATGACGTTACCTGCAAGGTCTAAAGTGGGGGGTGGAGTCGCTCCGGTATTTGCAGTCTACTTAAGCAGGACGCGCACTGAATCGACTCGGACCGGTCGACTCGGCAAAGAGCATTCGGCAGTTTTTGATACTCATGCAATTAAATGAGACTCCGCGCACGGAATCGGACTCGTCGACTCGGCGTGGTCGACTCGACGCGGCAACAACGGAGATTGCTCGAAGGGGCAAAAACTGCCGAATGCTCTGACGGCCAGGGACGTTTTTTGTTCAAAATTTAGTGTAGCGTTTAGGACGTTTGTTCCGTGAGTATTGTTGAGTATTGATTTTCGTTAATATCGTGATGTCAGACGAAGTTTTAATTGAATGTGTTCGAGAATACATTATATTGTATGATCCCCAGAGCCGATACTACCACGATAATATAAGAAAGGAGAATGCTTGGACTGTTATATCGAAAAAGACGGGCCAATCTGGTAAGTAAAAGAATGTATCTTATAAATATGATTTATTGTCTGTACCTATTTCTACATATTTTTTGATATGTATAGGGTCATTCATGTAGGACTGAGGCATCTTTTCAAAAATCTTAGATAGCTACGTTGGGTATTTTTTCAATCAAATTCAAAACTAAGTAGGTACCTACTCTTGAAATATTTAAATATAGTACAAATTAGGGTCCTGTTCAATCCTCGATGAATGACCCTGTATGTACAGGTGCAAATGTAATCGGTGTAATTCAAGCTTCATAGTTAGGTAATATTCCAGCATTAATTCTCTCAAGTTGCCATGGTACACTTCCTTGATTAGAAACAAAGAATTGTTTGAACTGCCCTCTTATATTATAAGCATCTCGCTGGAAATTTCCTCCAATATTCTGCAAATCATTAAGACCTTCAAGCTCATCCTCACGTTCTAGTTCCCCTGGTTGCCACGCACAGGAATCGTTCCTCAAATAGTTATGCAGTGCAGTGCAAGCTAAAATAATTGTGTCGAGATGATCCGGCGAAATGTTAAATTTTTTCAAAAAAATCCTAAATTTTTTTGTCATAATTCCGAATGAGTTTTCGCTCACTCGTCTGGCTCTGCAGTGACGATAATTATAAATTCGGTTTGCTTGATTATTGCCAGTTTGGGCACCTGGATAGGGCCTCATCATATTCGGCATTAAAGGGAATGCCTCGTCTCCAACAATTACATGCGGCAAAACAATATTTGTTTGAGGCAATGGCTTCGGTTCGGGAAGATTTAACTGGTTTGCGAGTAGTTTTTTCCCAAGTTGAGATGAACGGAAAATTCCTCCGTGACTGTTACGACCATACCCTCCAACATCGACGGTTATAAATCTATAGTCTGCATCCACTAATGCAAGTAATACAATACTGAACTCCTTTTTATAATTGTAATATTGGGATCCTGTATTTGGAGGTTTTTCAAACACAACGTGTTTACCGTCAATGGCTCCTACACAATTCGGATAATGCCATTTTTGACGAAAGCCTTCCTCTATTTTTTGCCATTGTTCTAAAGTCGGAATAGGCATTACCAAAGGTCTGAGTGTATCCCATATTTGTTGACACGTATCGTAAACAATTTCCCTTACTGTTGTCTCTCCCAATCTGTAGCTGAAGCTTATTGAAGAGAAGGAATCACCATAGCCAAGAAACCTGGAAGAAATATACGACTTTTTACCATAATAGATTAGTGTATTAATAAGCAGTTTGATGTAAATATATCTTTCTAAACTACATAATATGTACTATGATGTGTACTAATAATAAATAGGTTCTTATTAACATATTATTTTCAGTTTCAGATTACAAAAAGAGATGGACAGCTCTTCGCGACAATTTTCGAAAATGTCTAAAAGCCAGAAAAACTACGAGTGGTCAAGCAAATATACCAACAAAAAAGTGGAAATATGAAGACATAATGTCTTTCATGATCCCTTTTTATGCAGAAAGGACACAAAAATCAAATCTTGAAGAAAGCGAAGTACAAGAACAACCTCGTGAACAACGTTTGAATATTTCTGATGATGAAGTTGATGCTGATATCACGAATGACAATGACAATGCGATGAATGACTTCCGTCGACCCCCTCCGCCAACAATAATACTATTCATTCACAAGGTACCCCGAATTCCCGAGAATATGCTTCAAAATTTAATCGACAGCAACAGTCTACCCCAATGGCGAAAGTGTTAACCAATTATTTTGAAGAAAAGCAAGCCTCAACAGTAAGCAAACAGAGGGATCATTTACAAAAATTTTTTGATGCCATGCAAGAAACAGTTAGGACATTTTCACCACGCCTTCAGATCGAAATTAAATCCAAAATATCGAACATGGTTTCAGAATATGAACTAAAGGACCTTATGAGTAAGGAACTTCCCAATATGCCCCCAAATGGAGTCCGGCATTCATCCACTAGATCAGAATCAGCTGGTTCTCCTCTGCTTAGTCCAGGATCAGAAACTTATCCAATACAGTGGCAAGTTCAGATGAGTGATCCGCCATATTCATCTTCTAATCAGTCGCCTTCTTCACGTTCTCCTATTGTAATTGAAGTATCTGAAAATTGTAACTCATTCCAGATGCAAGATCAGTCAAGTTCCAGAAATGAAAATTATACAATCCAGTGGCAAGATCAGACGAATGTACCTGGGTTAAATTCAATTGCTGCTCCAGGCTTATATTTCGCAAATTCAAGGTTTCCTTCAAGGTTCACGCAGGAAAAAGAAAAAGCCAATAATTCAGATATTAATCGCAAAAATTATCAGGAACTATAATTTTTTTGGTGATTATTCAGTTTTCTTAAGTTTACAATATTATTATAAGTTTTCCTAAGTTTATACTAGTGCTTCTGTCAAGAAAATAAATCCCTATTAGTGATGGTAAATTTCCAGGAATCTATTTTTTTGGGAATATTTCTAGTAGAAATATAACTAGTGCATAAAATATTTCCGGAAATTTTTGAAAATTTTGTCTGAAGCCAATTTTTTAACAAAATCATGAGTGCATAGCGCCTGAAAAAATCCCGAACCCGAAGGGTGAGGGATTTTTTCTTTGGCGCTATGCACGAATGGTTTTGTTTAAAAAAATTGGCTAAAGACGAAATTTCATAAAATTTCCTTTGGGAAATATTTTATGCACGTGTTATATTTTGATAGGAAATTTCCCGAGTTTGAAGTTTATTTACTACGTTGTGTCGATTTTTTTTATTGCTGATTGTTATCGATCTTTCCCATTTAAATTGCGTTTGTCAAAAATATACACTTTGACAGATTTCTGACATCAATGCGTTTTAAATGGAAAAGCGGGCATCAATGTCAAAAATGACAGTGGAAATTGCACCCGGAAATATCCCGCTCACCAGGGATATTTCCACTTGTCAATTCTTGAAAATTACGAGGTAAATTTTCAGTTAAATATGCACAAGGGATATTTCCAAGGAATATTCCCAAGAATGTTTCCAAAATGGGAATTTTCGGGGAATTTTCTGCTTTAAGTGAAAACCCCTATTTATATGAGTAGAGTTTCAGAGTAATTGTGAAATTTGCAATAAAACAACTATTTATTGATAAGTCAACAGCTTTATCTATTCCAAAGCTGAAAAAAATTAAACAAATCTGCATAACCTTAATTTAGGTCACTTCTTGGTTCCTTATATCAATGGTGAGGGTTATTTAATGCAATTTTAAGCTTGGATAACGCAAAAGCAGCTGAACCAAATATCAACATATGGTAGGTATATACGGAATCAGAAGAAAACAAAAAATCATTTTAGCCAAAAAGATACAGGGTGTTCCATTTAAAAAATGCAAGTATGCAAAAGATATTAGAGATAAAACCCTACAACTTTTGTATTCAACTTTTTTTTCTTAAGTTGTAGAAGCCGCACTAATTATAAGCAACAAACCCTGTACATGAATGTTATCGTCGAGGTTATCGTCATTGACGTCATTCTGTTCAGATCCAGAATAATCACCAATCAAGCTCTCAATTTCTTGTCGTTTGTTGTTTACACCCTCCAAATAGCGCGGTTTTAATATCCAGACTCCACACAAAGGTAAAATAAACATTCCAGCGCCATTAGCGTGAATATTCTCACATAAAAAATAAATTCCCTGTAACGGAAATTTATTTAACCTTGAAGGAATATTCCCGAGAAAATTCCCATTTTGGAAAATTTCCAAATTGGGAATATTTCCTTTGCCCATCACTAATCCCTATTTTTAATGTTTTGTTTTGCCGTAAGTTTATATTATAATATATGTATATTATGTACTTACTTGAGTGTGACTGCTAACCGCTCTTCAGGTGAGATGGCTTTTCTGAAGTTTGCATCCTGCTTCTCGGTAGGATTTTCAAAAGCTCATAAAACTTCCCACTAGACATTCGAAAATATTTAAAAAACTTTTCCTCATCTTTAAGCAAGTCGGGGAATAAATGGTAAAATTCTCCGTATACTTCCCTTTTTAAATTTATATCATGCACCCAGAATCTTGGCCTCTGCATTTCATTTTCAATTTCATGACACGCTAGTGCTATCATCAAGTCTTCGTCAGAATCTGAAGAATCTGTCATTTTTATCTTTTCTCGCTCCTCTATAATCGAAAACTGGCGAACGACTGCCGGCAATGCGAATTCAGTGCGCGGCTGAGTTGATATTCCGATCGCTCTATTCCGAGTCGACCGGTCCGAGTCGATTCAGTGCGCGTTAAGCAGGAGCGATCGGAATATCAACATTAGCCGCGCATTGAATTCGCATTGCCGGCAGTCGTCCGCCAGTTCTCGAGTATAGAGGAGCAGGAAAAGATAAAAATGACGGATTCTTCAGATTTTGACGAAGATTTGATAATAGCTCTAGGGTGTCATGAAATTGAAAGAGAAATGCGGAGGCTAAGGTTCTGAGTCCATAATATAAATTTGAAAAGGAAGGTCTACGGAGAATTCTACCATTTGTTATTCCCCGACTGGCTAGGACATGAGGAATAGTTTTTTTAATATTTAAGAATGTCTAGTGGGAAGTTTTATGCGGTTTTGAAGATACTGCCGCTCCAGAAGCAGGACACAAATTCGCAGTACAAACCGAAACGTTCCAAACGCTACACTAAATTTCACACAAAAATCCTCTCTGGCCGTCAGAGCATTCGGCAGTTTTTGCCCCTTCAAGCAATCTCCGTTTTTGCCGAGTCGAGTCGACCACGTTGAGTCGACGAGTCCGATGCCCTGCGCGGAGCCTCATTTAATTTCATGAGTATCAAAAACTGCCGACTGCTCTTTGCCGAGTCGACCGGTCCGAGTCGATTCAGTGCGCGTCCTGCTTTATGCTTTATGGGACATTGTGACCGTGCTAAACACGTTTACAGGAGAAAAACTACTGTTTTAAAATCAAGTCATATATTACATCAAAACAACTCTGACAAAAAATAGGGTCCAAAGAGGTGTTGCTCCTCGCTCCTTGTAAATTAAAAACTGGGAAACTAACTAACTAAATTTATCTCCATATCAAACAGAGTCTCATAATACTTACGTTGGGGCCGTGTTACAACAATCAGCTGATCCATGGATAAGCACCAACGAGCAGCTCGCAAGATGAAAATGGAAACTTTTTTCAATGACCTGTTTGGGGCAATTGAATCAGAGTAATGTCATTACAAAATAATTACTGCAATTTTAACGCCAAAATCGGAAAAAGAAATGTGGGCGACTTAAAAAAACTCGGTAGTTGTGGCGTTTGAGGTCGGTAGTTGCGACATACAACACAGTTTTAATTTCCAAACAATCCTCAGGTTTTAACCAAGATTAGATCATCAAAGTAATATAATCTCAGACAATTAGGACATTGCCGCACACATAAAATATTTCGATAGCCATCTGCATGCCTCAACCATACCTGACACAAAAACATCTAAAATTTTTTATAGTTCGAAACGAGGGTTCAGAAGACATTCCCGGAATAACAAAATAAGAAATAAGACCAGCACTAAAGCAAATGAGAAACAAAAAATCAAAAACTCCTAGAAGATAGGGTTACTTGTGAGATGTTAAAGAATGAGGCAAATATGATAGAAAAAAAAAACATTATGTGTACTACTTAATAATTGTGTGCAAGAGGGAGCACTATGGAAAAATGCCAAGTCATCTTATTCTTTAAGAAAGGTCATAACACTTTTACAGAGAACTATCGTTCGATCAGCTTGCTATCACACGTATATCAACTCGAAGATTTAGGTATAGCCATTAGAATAACAAACAAATTCGACGCTTACCAACCTGTCAAACAAGCAGGGTTTCGGAAAGGATATAGCTCCGTCGATCACCTACAAGCAATAAGAACATTGATAGAAAAGACGACGGAATACAACGTACCCCTGCACTAAGCTTTCATAGATTTTTAAAAAGCCTTTGATTCTGTTGAAACGTGGGCCTTCCTGCATGCTATGGACGACAGTATCGACTCTCACTACTCCAATTTGCTAAAATCTATATACAGGTTGAGTTACTAAGCGCGCGGTGGTCCATATCTCCTATACTAACGGAGATCGGAGAAAAAACTAAATACAAAACTTGTAGATAAACATGAGTACTATATTCCTAAATTATTTTCCAGTATACAGGGTGACCCAAGAACTAGTAGTGACACAAAGTTATGTTTTTTTAAATGACTCCCCCTGTATATTATGACATTTCTGGATTCTGCGGAAAATTCAAGGTTGGTGCCAAATGATAGTTTATGAAAAACAAAGATAGGAATGTAAAATCCGTTTTCTTGTAAAATTAACCGTTCAGGTTTTACAGTCTGTCAAAGATGCAAAAAAGTCAGTTTTCAACTGTCAATATTTCCGAAACAGTTGAAGATAGGTATATGACATTGTACATGAAATATCTCTAGAATTTTCCGCAGAATCCAGAAATGTCATAATATACAGGGGAAGTAATTTAAAAAAACAAAACTTTGTGTCACTACTAGTTATTGGGCCACCCTGTATACTGGAAAATAATTTAGGAATGTAGTACTCATGTTTATCTACAAGTTTTGTATTCAGTTTTTTTCCCGATCTCCGTTGATATATACAAAACACAGATTTCTCTGGATTTGTCCTAGTTTTCGAATCATCCGGGGGAATTTTTTGAAGTTCTCCGTGTTTAAAGGCGTGGAACCGAAAAAAAATCGTTTTCGAAGGCTTAAAATAAACGGTTTTGGGCGTGGCATCCAACATTTTAAAAGAAAAATTACTGCAGCTTTGCATTTAAAAATTCAAGTTGAGGGATTTATCGGAAAAACTATAAAACCGGCAACGTTGCAAATATCATTTTCAGATCCGGCACTATTAGGAACCCCAGTATACCAAATTTTATACCGTTATGTCACGGCGAGATAATTGACCGTTCCGGTTCTTTTGGGATACCCCGTATAATATCAAGTCGCTACAAAAGATCGAGGTTTTGCTATAACTCTACCTTATGCAATGAATTTTATAAAGCTCTTCTGAAATCTCGAAATAAGGACCCGGACCGCTCTGTTTACAAATTCTTGATGTTATTTAAATTTTAAATTATTAATAAGCTCCGGTTTATTCCTCCAATTTTTAAAAGATTCTGGATCGTGACAAACCTTAGTGTCAAACTAGTTTTCTTTTATTAAAATATTTATAGGGTTTGGAATTATATTTGAAAGTTTGTAAATCATAATTTGAAATGGTTGAATAACTTTTCCAACTTTATGATAACTATACAGTGTGATTTTTTAAGTGTGCAACATATGGGGATTATTTTTACTAAT